CTGTTTAAATATAATATTATTACATAAATGTACCTTTGTTAAAATGCATATGTGCTGCTTGGACCCCTGCGCATAGAAGGCAGGCCAGGGCCAGAATTCATTTCTCTGTGCTAATTCCTTGTGGGCCTCTCGGTCCGCCCCCACCAGCACTAGTCAGCAGGAGCTGTCTCTGCTTGCCGCCTTCTCTCTGAGTCCCTTCCATGGAAGCACAGAGCCGCACTGGGTGCCAGTGTCCCTTCCCCAGGCAGGGAAAACTGAGGCTGTGCCCATGGGGGTAGCTCAACCTTACTTCAATATAGGCTCTGGGGAAGAAAGAAAAAATAAAATCGCAGGGTATACCCCTCACACGCATCAACAGCAGGATGGCTACTATCGAAAAAACAGAAAATCACAAGAGTTGGAGAGGATGTGGAGAAATTGGAATCCTGTGCACCGTTGGTGGGAATACAAAATAGTACAGCAACTGTGAAAAATAGTGTGGAGATTCCTCAATAAGTTAAAAGCAGAATTTCCTCGTGGTCCAGCAACTCCACTCTGCCTACGTGCCCAGATGAGTGGATGCAGGGTCCGGGACAGATACTTGTGCACCGTGTTCATAGCAGCTTTATTCCCAACAGCCGCTGGGATGTGGAAGCAACCCGAGTGCCCATCAGGAATGGACAAGCAGAGTGTGGTATACACACACAATAAAATTGTATTCAGTCTTAGAAAAGGAGGACGTTCTAGAATATGCTACAACATGGATCTAGCTTGAGAGCATGACACTAATTGAAATGCCAGTTATAAAAAGACAGATGCTGCATGACTCCACTTACGGGAGGTGCCTAGAGTAGTCGGGACCATGGCACAGAAAGTAGAATGCTGGTTGCCAGGGCCTGGAGGGAGGAGAAAGTGGGGAGCTTTCCTCTGAGGTGCACAGAGTTTCGGTCCTGCTGGACGGAAGGAGTTCTGGAGATGGCTGCACAACACTACCCGTGCACTCAACACCACTGACTCGCACACCTAAAAATGGCTAAGATGGTAACTTTTTTGTTATGTGTATTTTAGCACAACTTTGAAAAAGGGAGAAGAAATGAAGGGTGCAATTGCTTAAGTGAAAACAGTTTTTAATAAAACCACAAGCAGGAAGGAAACTGCTGAGTCAGGGGCTGTTGCGCCTGAGGTTTGCACTGACTTTATTCTCTGTTGTGAACTGGGCTGAGTTGGGGTTTGGGGGCTGGGAGATTGTGAATCCACAAAGCTGAGGCGGAGAGTCTGGCCACAGAGAGCTGAGAACCTCTGCGAAAAGGGTTCGAGGAAAAGGTTTTAGGAGCTCAACGCCACGATGCCAAAGAAGTTAGGAACAGGAGCAGGTGGGAGTGGTCAGAGGACAGCAGCTTCCATACTTCGACGCATTAACAGGATGTCAGAGAAGGCGGACGTGAATGGAGAGAGTATTAGAGAAGGAGGAGGGTGGTTAGCTAGAAGATTTGGAACTCTGCAACCTGTTAAAGAGCCAGAGGGTGGCTAAGAATTAAGGAGGGGAATGTATCAGAATGTTGTTGTATCAGCATAAATAAAAAGATTTCTTTATTCAGCCCTGAAAGAAAGATCACGAGAAAACACGAATTTAAGTTAGATCACCCCTATGAGACAAGAGAGTGCCGGGGCGGCGCTGCCCACAGGATTTGCACCCTAGCACGGTGACATCTGGTTATAATCCTGTCTACTACCTACCTGCACGGATGTGCCGTTAGGGGATTTGGGTTTCTAAGAAGAATGTGCAGACCTCATCGCTAGTCTGCCAGCAGGAGACACAACAAGGCTAAGGCTGAGCAACTGTGGAACCAGCGAGGGAAGAAGTAAGCTCGCTCGCCCCACCACACCCTCCTGAACGCCACTGAGACCCCACAGCAGAAGGCACGCCTTTCCTCATCCTCCTAGGCACCGGGAGGTCGGAGTGCATGTGGCCCTGGTTATCAACTCGTCCACACGTGTGAGCAAATACATCGCTTTCCTGTGTCCCAAGAAAAATGCTGTAAAAATGCTCTAGCATTTGCCAGAACTGTGGAGACCTAAAGCAAGATCATGTATGTAAAATGAAGAATAACATGGATCTCACATTTGACCTAGTATGATCCCCGCGGGATTGTCTCCTCCATTAGCTTCTGTGACAGACCGTACTGATTCTGTCGATTCGCTTTATTCATGCACCTAGTGTTTACTGTGTATGCGCTTGTGCCTGTCATCATTCAAGGTTCTGTTAATTCGGCAGCGAACAGAGAAAAACATCTCCTGGTCCTACTGTAGCTCACATTCTGACTCACTGTCCTTCGCTCATTCATTTTGCCATTCCCTTTTTTTCAATCAAATACATCTGCTATGTGTGAGGACTACATTGGGCAGGAAGTGCGTGCTAGCTCGTTTAACCCTCTGGGCAGCCGTCCTCGTGGCAGGTCAGAGGAGATGCCGCACACCAGGGCGGCGCAGCTTGTGTCAGGGCTCTCGGCAAGTGGCACAGCCTTTAGTCTGAAGCCAGGGTCTGTTTTTCTATTGCTAAGCCCTCTGCTCTTGCTTTTATTTTCCTAACGTCACGTCTTTCGTGTTTTGCTCCTACAGACGTGTTTGTTCTCAAAGAATCTATCCATCGTAACTATCCACTTTACCTTTATGCAGAAGGCCTCTCAGTCCTTTAGACTCTGGCCACACCAAAGCTCCAGGCTGAGACCCTGTCCTTGCAATAAAGACCCACACACCCCCAGGAGTCACAAGGACCTCAGTCATCAGCCCCACCTCTAAATGCAACCTTATCTGCTGCCCAGCACCCCCGCCTGTCTGGCCCTCTGCATGTCGTCTGGGTGTGTCCTGCTCCTCCCGCTTGTTAGGTCCAGAGCCAAGGGAGACACGCAGCCTCATGTGTAGCAAAATGCTGTTTATTTTGAGTATCTGGGTGCAGATGGGTGGAGGCAAAAGAGCGTCCACCAGAGCAAAGCGGAGAGCCTTGGGTTTTGTAGAGGGTGTTTCCAGGGGCAGTAAGTAAGTGGGCCAGAATAGCTGCTTGTGATCCATTCTTTGGCAAACACCCACCTTTGAGACCCCTGCTCCAGTCACATCCATTCTCAGCTCTGGGTCACCCTTGCCAGGAGAGCTGGGGAGGGATAAACTTCGTCTCTAATTGGTCTCTAGCAGGCAGGGTGGGGGAAGGAGTGCTGACTGCAGCTGTCTGTTAGATCTACAAAGTCCCATCCGGGGACTTCCCAGACTCCTGCAGCTGTTGTGTTACAAGCCTAAGTTTTGCATTCACCACACTCTGTCCTGTACACAGTCTTCGGTTCCCACCTGGAGCAAACCTCCACCGCTGGCGTCCACTCTGCCCCCTCTGCGCCCCGCTGTGCACAGCCTTGCAGAGCCCCTTCCTGCCAGCCGCTTTGGCTCACCCATCAGGTTTAGCTCAGAGACCCTCAGAAGTCTGACCTTGACCCTGCAGACTAGGTCACAGTCCTCTGATACCTCCCCGCAGGACTGGCCAGTGACCTATCTCCAGTTACTAGTTTGTGATTACGGGTTTGCATGATCACACGACCCCTCTCGCAGCTGATAGATCTCGAGGCTCCTTGTGAAATGGGGCCACATCTGTTTCCTCACCCTCCTGCGTTCAGTCCCCAGCGCAGGGCTGGGGACAGGCGCTACCAGCAGACAGGGATGTGTGCTGGAGAATGGACCCAACGATCGCCCACAGGCATGCCCCATGCTGAAAGCCAGCCACACTGAAATTATTTGGCTCAGGTGATGGGCACTGCCTGGACTCCTCTACTGTGTGGATGACCTTAATGACCTCCCTGTACTCATCCCGATTCGGCCTCCTCTCTGGGAATCTGACATCCCCTCTGAGCCATCCCCTCGCGGCTGTCTCAGCCCCCCACCCACAGATGCAGCATTGATAGGCTAAGCTTGGATCATTCCTTCTAATGAGTGCCTTGGTCTACAGCTTTGTCACCTCCAAGATATGCTTTGCGACAGTGATAACACACGTGTATTTGTTACAGGGCCGTCACTGAACTGGGCCGGATATGAATTTGAAGATTTAGAATCGATGCTGGGCTGCGCACCTGCTACTATTACACACACACCTGTGCGGTCACCCCCAGACAGGCGGCGTCTCGCTTCTTTCTTTGTTTCTCTATTTGTACATTTTAATGCTCTGGGCCTTAAATTTTATTTTATCTGATATTCTTTTTTATTCCTGTTCAAATGGTGTAAATTTTATCATGAGAAATCTAGTATTTGAAAAGTTTTACATGAATCTCTTTTATAAAGCATAAGTTATACGTTAATGTTTTCTAGTTTTTTGTTTTATTTTATTTTGCTGAAACTGTATAACTTTTATTTATTTATTTATTTATTTATTTATTTTTATTTCAGGATATTAGGAGGCTACAAACATTTTGGTCACAATTTATGTCTTTCCCTCCCCCGAGCGAGGATTAGAGGCGTGCCCTTCCCCTCTGTTCATCGTGAGCGAATTCGTGTACAATAGAAAAAGTAGTTTGGAAAAAAGGAATTGTTTAAAAAATGATTATGCCCTATAAAAAATTTAAAAAGAATGATGATGCCATGCGAAGATTCTGCCCCACCCCCTTTTTTTTATCCCAGCAAGTACCATATGGACCATGACTGGTGTAATAGTTCTAAAGGCATTCTCTATATGTTCAGTAGTTCTTCAACTAAATGCCAAATAAATATGTTCAGTAAACAGGGAAGGAAGGAGCTCGGAATCCCGAGCACCGACAGGACACTGGGAGACTGGAGGCTCCCGGGGGCTCAGGGCAGGCCCGGGTAGGGACGCGGCTTCCCGCCAGCGAGCGAGGTCAACGCCAAGGGCGTGCATCGCGTCCTCGGGGTCGGGTCGGTGGGAGCCTGCGCTGCGACTCTCCGCAGGGCGTGGCCGCTTCGGACGCCCGGACCCGCGGGCGTGCTCACAGCCCGGCGCCCGCCCGTGGGCCGGCGCGCGGCAGCCTGCCATGGCCGCGGGGGCGCCCGGGCAGCGGCTGCGCGAGGAGGCGCGGTGCCCCGTGTGCCTGGACTTCCTGCGGGACCCGGTCAGCGTCGACTGCGGCCACAGCTTCTGCCTCGCCTGCGTCTCGGAGCTGTGCGCCAGGGCGGAGGGCGCGCGGGGCGGCGTCCACGCGTGCCCGCAGTGCCGGGCGCCCTTCCGGCCCGCGGGGTTCCGGCCCAACCCGCAGCTGGGCAGCCTGGTGGATAGCGTGCGGCGGCTGGGGCTGGGCGCGGGGCCCGCGGGGGCGCGCCGGTGCGCGCGGCACGGCGAGGACCTGAGCCGCTTCTGCGAGGACGACCAGGCGGCGCTGTGCTGGGTCTGCGACGCCTCGCCGGAGCACAGGAGCCACCGCACGGCGCCGCTGCAGGAGGCCGCCCGGGGCCACCAGGTGAGAGCCAGGCGCGGCGCGCTCCGGTGGCAGGGCGCCCGGAGAGGCCCCGCTCCGGGTCTGGAAAGGCTGCGGTGACAGAGGAGCAAGCCGAGCCGGACATGTTAAGTGCCCTGCCCAGAGCCCACTGATACCACCAGGTCTCCTGAATGACTCCTGTCTCCGCCTGCCCTCCGCCTTCCCCACCCCGGCCTCCGGCTCACACTCAGGTGGGGCTCTTTGCCTCTGCTCCTGGTAACCTTCTTTGGGGCCCTGCTCCGAAGCCCGAAGGCATTCCTTATTGTAGGCTGTCCCCCTCTACCCTGAAGCCTTTCCTGGTCCTTTAGCTCGGGCTGTCTCATTTTTCCTGATACTATCTGGTTCTCACAGCTGGAGCCCTGCTGGGGAGGGCCGTGTGGCTCACTCGATTCTTGGTGACAATTGCACATCCTTATCGTAAACGTTATGTAATAATTCTCTTTTGTACAATGTTTTCCTTTTGCATCGTGTTTGTGTCTATGTGAATTAATATGGTCACCAAAACAGCCCTGAGGTCTGGGCGTTTGCGGAGAGCAGCACCGGCGTGGCCTGCCTTCTGACCGCCTTGGAAGCTGCCTGCAGGCATGTGTCCCCTGAGGTAGGGACAGAGGAGCACACAGCACGTGTCTGGGGACCTTTGATTTGACCATCCGCAGTGAAGAGGTGTGCTGGAGTATTTGGCCCCCAAAGTGGCAACTGTGGAACGCTGTGCGTAGGATTCTTCCTACTGGTGCTCTTCACAAGTTCTTGCATGTTCTGAACGCATTTAGATTTCCAACATCGAGAACAGTTACTCGCACAAAGGATGTCAAAATCATGTTTAATCTGCTGACATATTTAACGAAAGATTGTCACACTGTGGTACAATGCAAATGCTAGCTTTCTTAAAATTATTTACTTATTTAGTTTGTTTGACTGTTTTAAGTTAAGATATGGGATAATTTCTCCTCAACTTCTCTCTGGGGCTATCTGGAAATCTCTCTCTTGATTTCTCTTCTTGATTTTGGTTGCCATCTACAAAATTCTGGTACTCTGTACTTTCTAGCTAGACTTTTACAGTATGTTCTTGCCCCACCCCCCTTTTTAAGAAAGTACCATATGGACCATGGCTAGTGTAATGTTTCTAAAGACATTCTCTATATTTTCAGTAGTTCTTCAACTAAATGCCAAATAAATATCATCTCAACTCCTGAACCTGTCAGTCTAGACTAGAAAGGGCCTTAAGTTTGTTTCTACAGCTCTTGTCCTAACCACTCATGAGATCCAGCAAAATTAGCCAAATCATTGTTGTCACCAAATGTGGCACACTCTTTTTTCCATCTCCTTGCTTTTGGTCACAGTTTCTTTGGTCTGAGGGAGCTTTTCTCCATCTACAAGTGTCAAAGTGCTCTGTTCTTTGTAAACTCCAAAACAAATGTCAGTTTCCTCACCTTGTCAAATACCATCATGAGTTCTATTGTTATTTTATGCACATCATTATACTATTCTTTTTAAATGATTGATGTGTAGCTAGGCATAACTTTGGGAACAGAATTTTTTTTTAATTAAAAGCCTGTTTATGTGTGTATCCTTGTGGATATTCTCTATGAATAAAATACACATACCTACCTCTAGCAAGGGTCCTATTGTTGAAGGGAGATTTAGTTTTTGTTGTATTGTATTTTTACTCATTGTAAGACTTACAACTTACTCTACTCTTTTCCCATTTAAAATATGTTAACCTACAAGGTCTCTTCTGGCCCAGTAATGGACTACTAATACTACTAATTATAAATCCCTTTCTTTTCATAAGTAATAAATAATTTTGAGTATTCAAAATATAGGGAGATACAAAAAATAGCATCACTCTTCAACCTAGCACCAATAGACAACGTTTCTTCTAATAACATTTTCATGTACCTCTACCTGGTTTTTATATATATGTGTTAGAAGTACATTTTTTTCTAAAATTGGTGTTAGGTTTTATAGGATATACCTGTTTATTTGACATTATCATTGTATCTCTTCTCAGTAAATATTCTGGAACACCTTATTTTAATTATTAATACATCCAGTTAATATATTTTTTCTCACCCCCCTATTTTTAACATCTTGGTTAAATACACTTATCATATTATAAGTAATGATGCAATGAGCAATTTTAGATAAGCCTTTGGTTGTATCTGGTATTAAAACACATTTATGTTATTGAGGTCAAATAAGGAATGTTTTAGTTGATCTTATTTCCTTGCATATTTGGGTGACATTCGGTACTGAAGAGGGTATCTGTAACAGTTTGGCACATCTTCCCAAACAGGCAAAGCTCCAGATGGCTCTGGAACTTGTGAGAAAAGAACTAGAAGAGGCTTTGACTCAGGAGGCCAGTGTGAGGAAGCAGACTGTCATTTGGAAGGTACGAGAATATTGGGGCTTCAAGACGTCTGCCTGTCTGAAGGTGCAAATCTGGGTCATTAAGTCATTCTTCCACCATCCTCCATTCTCCAGTGCTTTTGCTTGTCTACACAGTTGCTCAAGAAACACATCTCAGTGTCTTCCTGCATCAGCCCATCCCCTCACATTATGTGGTTTGCTTTTGTCCTTTCTCCCGCTATTGACGCTACCCAGTGCAAATTATAAATAAATAGCTTTACTAGCGTGATCACACTGTCAAACCCACTGCAGTGTCCCTATCACCTAGAACAGAGTCTCCTATTATATCACTACTAGTTTAAAAAACATTTGGTAGACAAATCAAATAATGAATATTTCACAACTTTATAACAGACGATTTGTAGCTGATAATGATGATCTTACATATAGGAAGATGCTGTGGACCTTCAGCCTCTTTTGGTCATCTGTACACATATTCTCTTTTCTCTGCCTCTCACCAGATCTTTCATTTCTCATATTCTTTCTATTTACCGACATACACACATATACAACCTGTGGTAATTTTGTCCCCCTTCTCCAACAGACATTTTGCATATCTGGAATTTTTATTTTTTAATTTTTTTGAGACAGTGTCTCACTGTGTTGCCCACGCTGGAGTGCAGTGGTGCAGTCACAGCTCACTGCAGCCTTGAACTCCTGGGCTCAAGTGATCCTCCTGAGTAGTTGGTATAACAGGCATGCACCACCACACACAGCTATTTTTTATTTATTTATTTATTTTGTAGGATGGGGTGTCACTTTGTTCACAGGCTGGTATTGAACTCCCAGCCTCAAGCAATACTCCCCCCTTGGCCTCTCAAAGTGTTGGGATTATGGGCATGGTCCCCTGTCCTGGAAATACTTTTTTATCGTCACAACTGGTGGTGGCAGGGGGTGTAGTGTGGGAGTGCCATCTGGAAGGCCAGGAATGCTGCTAAACACCCTGCAATGCACAGGAGAGTCCCCACTCCTCACAAGAATCAATTACCTGGTCAAAATGTCAATCGTATCAAGATCCAGATATAGTTTCAACTGTGTATAGAAACTATGTGTATAGTTCTATACATTTATACAGTGTATTAATTAATATGATGTATAGGCCATATTTTGTAAAATATTCCTGTTCTCTCTCCTTCTCCAAATAACCCTTTTTCTCTGATCATTCTTTATATTTTCTTAAGTCTTTCCTTTTTCTTGAAAATTTAGTCTTTATTCTCAGACATATCTCCATAAAGACCATCTTTGCTACACTTTTTCTGGGCTAAGTCCTACCCTTGCCTGTCACTCTGTATATTATAGGTAAAGTTAAATATTGATTGATAATTTTGTTGTTTCAAGCTAATAATCCAAGTCTATTGTTTTCAGTAGTGGCCTGATCGGACATTTATGAAATCAGAATCCCCATAACCAAGATTTGCATTCCTGCATTTTTAAACCCTGTACTGATTATTCTCAAGTAGAGATGATACTAAGATCCCTGTTCTAAGCCAGGGATATTTACCATCAAGAATGTGCCCATGTGTGCCAAATGCAGCAGGCATGGGTTTGATAAAAGTGAAGTCTGAATTCTACAAAAAAAATTATTTTGTACACCTGCGGGTGTAACTGCAGTCTCAGGAGGGGGTGCGAAAGGAAGATGGACTGTAAGCGGATCGCTCCCACCGCCCGTCTGGGGCCAGGATGCCGCCTCGCCCTCCCACGGGCTGAGTGGGTGGCCCCACTCCCCAACAGCACAGCTCCACCGTGGGGGCGAGTTGCTCAGACTTCCATGAGGTGGACCCTTTGGAAATCAAAATACGAAATGCAGAGCTGGCTGATATTAGAAAGAAGCTGGGACTGGGCGAATCTAGTGATACAGAAAGTGATAGAAGGAGGTAGAGATGGAAAACTGGAAGGAGTTGAGTCTTATGGGGGCATTAGAGTTTTGCCTTTTAGTCAAACCAAGAAGTTCCACTGTTTAAAAACAGGGCAGAGAATCCAAGGTGTGGATACTTTGGGAGGATGATCTGCCTCTCCTACTCAGTTTAAAGTTAGTGCCCTACGTGTTCAAGAGAATGAAATGTAGATATGCTAAGCCTGTGCAAAGTGTGTTCCTTAGGCTGTTCACAGATCGTAAGCGTGAGGTTTGGACAGAAGTCAGCACTGAGCGGCCTGAGGGTGACTCAGTTCTTTGTTGGCTTTCTAGGGAGCATCGGGCTTGTGGTGGGTTCACGGTCGGTCACCACGGTGTGAAAGAGCCTTCGTTTTCTCTAATCTCTACGCCCCTTTTTATTCATAGCCACAAATCTGGGTCTCTCTAATATCTTCGTAATTTAATTGCCTCTAGTGTTTCTAGTGACTAATCTAATAGTAACAGGTGCCTTCCACTGTGGGACTCCTCCTCTATGCTAGTCCCTGTTCTCAGCAGTTTAATAGGGTTTTTTTTGTTTTTTTTTTATTTCGGCATATTATGGGGGTACAGATTTTAAGGTTTGGTTTTTATAATAGTTGTAATCCACACACTCCTCTTTTCCCCACATTTTATGCATGGTCCTGAGACTGAATATGAAAGTGCCTTGCCCCGAAGCCTATGGCAAAAGGGGAACCCAAACCCAACAGTCTTTCTGGAAGTCTAGGTTTGAAAGCTCCGCCAGGCTGCGTCTCCCGTGAGTGCACTGTGTTTTCTGTGTGTTGTTAGAGTGCAGCCAATCAGTCCACAGAGCTGTGGAGCCAAGGGGACTCCAGACATTGCCTTCCGCGCCTGCAGCGTCCCACAGGCGAAGGCAGGAGGCCGAGACCCCGTGCCGCAAGTGCCAGTGACCAGATCCCCTGCGTCCCTCCAGGAGATGGTGGAAATGCAGAGGCGGCGCTTCCGGTCGGAGTTTGAGAAGCACCGCGGCTTTCTGGCCTGGAGGAGCAGCTGCAGCTGCGGGGGCTGGCGGAGGAGGAGCGGGCCGCCCTGCGGCGGCTGCGCGAGGGCAGGCGCCGGCTGAGCCCGCGCTGCAAGGCCCTGCGGCGGCGGGCGGAGGAGCTGGAGGACCGGTGCCGGCGCCCAGCCCTGGGTCCGCTGGAGGTGAGGCCGGCGGCAGAAGGGCAGGCGCGTGTGAGCCTGCGGGGACAGACACAGGGACGGTGGCTTTCAGAGACAGACACTTAGACCTTTGTGTTCTTTAGGAAAACGACATCCTGGAATTTACTCTGAAGGCATCTTAATCCTAAGTCCTGGCGTCAGAATCATAAGGGAGTCTAGAGAATTGTGTGATTTGCACCAAAGACAGAAAAAACTCAAAAATTAAAATTCATGTAATGACTTATGCACACTTAAGCAGCTAGGGGGAGGGCCCGCTCCACACGCTGGCTGAGAAAGCGCTTCCTGCACCTCGCGGCCGGTCCGAGGCGACACTGCCGTGTCGGGCAGTCCCAGGGAAAGGCCTGGGCCGCCGGGGCAGGGCGGCGGCGAGGCGGGCCGCCAACCGCCCGGCGCGCAGCCTGGGCTCCCGCGCGGCGGCTCCGGGCTGCGGGCGGCGGAGCAGCAGAAAGACACGTCACAGGCGGGAGGGAGTGCTGGTTCTTAGTCCTCCATGAAGGCACGCGATCCCAGGTGCAGAGGGAGAGCCGCATTTGCTGGCGGGCGCGGCTGTCACGGCGGCGAACCGGCTGCGCCCGCCCCAGCCCGCGCCCGCCCCGCGGCCCCGCGGCCTCCCGCCTCTCGCGCTCGGTCTGGACACTGGCCCGGCCAGCCTGGAAACGGTCCGCCTAGCTATCCGTATAGTGTTTGCAGGGACGGTGACTGAACAGTGCCGGGCACACAGTAGGGATCATTAAATGGATGAATTTACAAAGCATTTAAATTCAGTTTTTCTCATTTTACCATCAAAATATCTATAGATAAGTAAAATTTGTTTTTATTGCATTTTGGCATTATTATCATCATTGCTATGCTCATTTCCTTGCAGGCAAACTAGGGGTCAGAAAAGAATTAATTTTCTAAGTACCAGACGGCAAATAAACACAAGAACTTTGACATTTTCAGCAATAAAAGTTATTGCCTTACCTTACCGTATTTCACATAAGTTATTTATATTTAGCATTTCTTAGCACCAAATAAATGTTAAAATAATTTTTAATACCAATCTTAGGGAGAATATATCCTTAAGTAATTTATATTTATTTTATGCTGCCATTTCCCTTTCCTCCCCAGTACCAGTAAGCTGCATTTTATCCCCAATGGCCAAGACCAAGGCCTGTCATGTCCATACAGGGTAAGAAGAATCATTCCCATACTTTTATGCCCTGTCAAAATTTATCAGACAGGTGACTGTTTTTTAGGAGGAGAGGGGGAAAGTTTCCTAGGGATATTATTTATTATTAAATGTATATTTATTTAGTAATGTACTTTGAGACAAAATGTTGCTAGCTATTAATGACTTCCTTTTTTTATCTACCTAGGTAACCTACTCATATGAGTAGTTCTGGTGCGTTGGTCCGAAGAATTAGGGAACTGGGGTTCTCTTATAATGACATCGAGGAAAATATTTTACGCCTATACCTAACATTGTTCCTTACATAGATTCTTCAAATATTTAGGACCTATTTTTATCCAAATTCCATCTGTATTAGGTGCAGAATGTAGCTCTGTTAAAACAGTCCAAGTGCCAGAATTACCAATTCAAAAAATAATTAAAATTGAATTAACTATAGGAATTAGCCTAAACTTTGTATAGTCTAATTCTTTTCTAATTATTATTATTATTATTTTTAGAAGTAAATATGTTCTATTTTTTATTTTGGGTTCACAAGACACAAGACACAAAATGCTCTAATCATAAAAAAGACTAATAAATTTGACCACATTAAAGTAATTCTATTCGGTCCTTTGTATTTATATTGCTCACTGCAAGAATAACCAGACTCAGATCACCCATATTCTCCCTTGCTCTAATCCCCATAAAGCTATGTGTGTCCCCTATTCTAACCTATTTCCCACCCTCTATAAATCCTAAAGCCATACTCTGTGTTCTCTGGCATTTTAGTTGATCCTCAGAAACATTCCCTGTATCTTCCAATTCATTTCTAAAACTCCCTTTGCCTTCTTCCCTTGACGGAAACTGGGCTCTCCCTTCAGGACACTGCTTCTCCTGCCATCCTCTCAGCTCGTGGTTTTTTACCCTCTTAGAACCTTTGTACGATTGGGACTGGAAGTAGAGTAGCTACCTCCATTGCACGTTATTGATGTTTCCAGACTATTTGCTCTGCTTTTCTCTAATATCTTCAACTTTGAATCTTATGTCATCAGATTGCATCACTCTGCACTCGTTATCCCAAAGTCACCTTCATTTCTTGATGAATTTACCTCCTGAATTACTGAAACTTCTTCTAACACTTTCCTTGTCTAAATTCTTAAGGAATGCAATTTATGATTAAATGATTTATCTAATACACTAGTGTCTCGGTTTCTTAAGTTTTTCTCCACCAATTAGTTATTCCTCCATCATATCTCAGCTGCTCCAATCCCATCCTCATGCCTCAGAACTCATCATTACTAACAATTACAGCTCCTCCATGTTCTCAATTTTATGTGCCTCTCTGACCATCTCTTCCTCTTTTCTAATTATTACTGATTCTTTTATTTCAGAGTCTTGAAAAAATTAAATGACAGCTTGTTTTTGTCTTTAATGAAAAGAGATTTATCATCTCTGATAGGTGAATGTTGAATGAGTAATTATTTCTAGTAATTCCAAAAGAAATTTTCATGGTGCCCCCCCTCCCCCCACTCCTCCCCTCCCCGTCTAACTGCCAAAATCAGTTCAAAGGTCTAACTCACACCTGTTTGTGTTTCTCCTTCACTTTCAGGGTGTGAGAGGAGCCTTGGACAGGTATGCTTCCTTTCGGAATCAGTGCAGGGCTTGGGAGAGGTAGAGGATGGTGGATGCCCCTGCTGACAGCTGACGCTTCTGTGCCCATCGCAGGAGTAAGGCTGTCACGCGGCTGGAACCAGAGACCATCCCCCTGGAGCTGAAGACAGCATGCCGCATCCCCGGGATGAGGGACATGTTGAAGAAGTTCCAAGGTAGGTTGCGTCTGAGAGCGTGGGGAGCCAGGATGCCTGGGGTTTGGCTGTTATTGCAGCTCGTGCCGTGCAAGGCAGGCTGTAGGGACAAACAGAGCCCGGAATCTTCGTGGCCACCATCAGCAGAGATTCTTTTGAGAGCGTGCTATGGGTCTATTATTAGATTGTAGCAACTGGCTTGTGGGGACTTTTCTGTCCTGCCCTCACGGAGCTTCACCTCCTCCCTGGTGCTGGAGCCACGGGAAAGGGGAAGCTACGTCAACCGGAAATGAAATAATTGAAAGAATCAGAATCCAGTTTTAAGGAAAGCGTTGAAGCAGAAAGGTGGGAATAGCCACCTGGAAACACAGACTCCAGAGAAATGGGGGTCAGTGCCCCAAAGTTAAAAGTTAAGGTCTTGCTTGCATAGGCAGAAAACAAAGAAATTTAGTAGGATTATAACATTTTCTATGCAAGACTCAGTGTCATTTAGAGAACGTTATGAGTTGCAACAATTTAATTAATTACAGCTTGTTTTAATTTCCTTTCCAATTTAAAAGAGAGTAGGTAACGTTTCACCTCGGACAATGTGATAGCCACGCCGTCTGTGTGAGAGGGGAAAGGAGAAGGTACTCTGCGGTGAGGGGGGAAGGGGCTTCCCCAGGCGCTTTGCTCTTCAGAGTGTTTTACAGACCGTTGTCAGTGAGGAAGAAGCCTCATCTGTAATCGGAGAAGCGAAGGCCACAGCCGCCTGCACTGACTCAGGCCCCATGATCACGTTCCTCTGTGGCTCAAAATAATTTAGAGTTCCAACAGACGTAAAACGAACCTAAGAGCAAGCGCCTGGGGAAGCCCCTTCCCCCCTAACCGCAGAGTCACTCTCCTCCTTCCCTCTCCACAGACGGCGTGGCTATCACATTGCTCGAGGTGAAACGTTACTACTCTCTTTTAAATTGGAAAGGAAAAAAACAAGCTGTAATTAATTAAATTGTTGCAACTCATAACGTTCTCTAAATGACACTGAGTCTTGCATAGAAAATGTTATAATCCTACTAAATTTCTTTGTTTTCTGCCTATGCAAGCAAGACCTTAACTTTTAACTTTGGGGCACTGACCCCCATTTCTCTGGAGTCTGTGTTTCCAGGTGGCATTCCCACCTTTCTGCTTCAACGCTTTCCTTAAAACTGGATTCTGATTCTTTCAATTATTTCATTTCGGTGTTGACGGTAGCTTCCCCTTTCCCGTGGCTCCAGCACCATAG